TAACCTCCTCCCAAAACCATGTGCTGGACTCACATCCAAAGTAGCAGGAGAGGAAGAAGATAAGGATAAAGATGAGCAGGAAAGTCACATCTGTCTCCAGGATCCCTGCCAATTTGGTGGAAGGAGGAAATGGTGTAGTCAGGTCCAATGCCCCTCTGCTCTGGGCTCCCACAAAGATCCTGGCCTCTGGGTCCCATGTGCTCACCAAACTCATCAGCTGAGAAATGCCGTGTCCAGAAGGACTTGCCATTGGTGAGGACCATTTCATACTCCAGCTGCAGCCCATCTCCCTGTAGGGAGCACAGAGGCCTAAGCAGGGGCCCTGGGCAGATAGGGGGTTAGCAGGAAGGGAGGGAGGAGAAGACTTAGGTGGCTGGTCTGCTCCTTACCCCACACTTGCTGAGTGCAATGTACCACCACCTTTCACGCACTGAGCGGAAACTGCGGCCACTGGAGCAGCTCAGGTAGCGGATTCCCTCCTCTGACACCACCTGGGGAGGAGCAAAAAGAAGACTGAAGCCTGTCTGCACCACCCCCAGGCCCTTGATCTTCATCCCCTGCCCACTTCTCCAGGCTGGGCCCATACCTGACAACCTGACCAGGCATACTGGGTGGTGAGGTTGATGACCTGGTTGTTCTCTGGCCTTATCACTGATTCCTTGGCCAGGCAGCCCTGGAGGAGGCAGGGACATGGTCACTCTCTGGCCAGCTTCAACCTTCTTCCCCTTCCCGTACACCCTCCTCAGAGCCTTCACCTTGTCCCCTGCCTTGTACACCGCTGGCCACTGGGATGGGTCGTCGAAATAGAGGAGGATGTTCTGACAGCACTTGGCCTGCAGACCCAGAGATTTTGGGGTTTGGGGGAATTGCCCTTGCCTTGGGAGGTCAAGGGAGCCTCCAGCCTCAGCATGTTGAGTGGTTGGGGATGGCTCACCTCAGGGTATCGGAAACGGAAGTCCAGTCGGCCGTAATCCGAGAGGAAGCAAAATCTAGTCAGGAACACCCAGTCCTGGAAAAGGGGCTCAGTCAGACCCTCTTGAGTCCTTTGGGAACTCTCCTCAACCCCACAGACCCACAGTTTTTCTTCCATACTCTCTGGTTCCTGGTTTCCCAAGAGGTCTAAGGAGACCAAGTCACCTCCAGTTTCTTCCAGGATCCCCTCACCTTAAGTCCGGGAGTCCTACCTCAGATGCCACCCGACTTTCCTTTCCTCCCCTCGCCTCAAGCACTTCTCCCATTTCCCAGATGCCCCGAGAAAGGCCCTGGAGGGCCAGATCCCCGTCCTGGCCACTTACTGCCTGGACACCATCCCCCCAGTTAAGCGCGGTGGTCCCGGAGACCATCCCGTGCTGGGGAGCAGTTCCAACGGCCTTCTCCGGGTCCTGAGCCGGACTGTGAACTCAAGGCTCTGCGGAGTGAAAAGTGCTGTCCCTTCAGCACCATCTCGACGTCCCCAACCCCCACACCAAATTCCGATTCTCCCAGCCTGGCCCCTTCCCCGCCCATTTCTGACCTCAGTGTCCCTCCTATAACCCCCGAGTCTCTTCTAGACCCCACAGTCTCCCTCAGCTTCAACCCTAACCCAGTCCCCAGTCGTCTCCGGCCCTACCCCGTCCCCCGCGGCTCCCGAGGACCGCCCGGGAGGAGCGGCCGGAGCGACAGGGGCCGGGGTGACACCCCCTCCCCTTCCTCGAGTGCACCGGGGACCCTGCGGGTGGCAGGGGAAGGCCCGCTCTGCTCACCTCCTTGGAGCTGAGGTTGCCCCGCACGTATTTGGCCCGGGCACGGGGGGGCAGCGACAGCAGCAGGAGCAGAAGCGGCGGCAGCAGGCTGCGCAGAGCCGGCGCGCGCGGGGGCTCCATTCCTCCCGCTCCAGCACCGGCTCCGCGCCGGCTCCCGCTCCGGCCGGGCGACGGCAGCGAGAGCGCGCGGGCTGGCCGGCGCGCGGCCCCGATTAAAGGGGCCGCCGGGCGCAGCGCTCCCCGCCCCCTCCTCCGGATGGCTGGGCCTGGCCCTTTCCCAATTCCCGTGGGGGTCGCCCCTTTCCCATCCTCTCTGCCGCGCCCCGGCCCCTATCCTTCCCTCTGGAAGTCTCCCTGTTACCTCCGGCTCCCTGTGTCCTTAACTGAACTCACCTTCCCCCAAAACTTGCCTCCTCCAGACTGCCAGGCGGCACAGTCCATAGACCCCAGCTCTACCCTGACCTCCCCCCAACTTAGTCCTCAAACTGTTCTTTATTTTTTTTTTGGTATTATTAATCTACAATTACATGAGCAACATTACTAGACTCCCCCCATCAAGTCCCTGCCACATACCCCATTATAGTCACTGTCCATCAGCATAATAAGATGCTATAGAATCATTACTTGTCTTCTCTGTGTTGTACAGCCCTCCCCGTACCCCCCCTTACATCTGCTAATCGTAATGCCCCCTTTCCCCCTTGTTCCTCCCTTCCCACCCATCCTCCCCAGTCCCTTTCCTTTTGGTAACTGTTAGTCCATTCTTGGGTTCTGTAAGTCTGCTGCTGCCCAAACTGTTCTTTGATTGCTCATCTCTACCCCCATGACAGTCATCCCCAGCTGCGGTCCACTTGAGGTCCCATGCATTCTGTGCCCTGCCTACAAAGACACAGGCACAGAGAGCAAACCGCTGGTTTGAGCCACAAAACACGGAGGTGGCAGAGAGCCCTCAGCCACAACCACTACACCCCACTTGCTGCCTGACCCTGTCCTGTTACTGTTTACCAGGGTGTGAAAACCAGTCTCTGTGAGGCAAAGGTGTTGTGGTGTGAGAAGCCCAACAGTAAACTGGTATCAATTGCCTAGGTTCAAATCCCAGGGTTGCCACTTCCTCCCCATAAGACCTCAGCCAAGTCACAGTCAAAGCACACAAGACTGGACTGGCTTTCCCAGTCCAGTCCCCCACATAAGTACTATGCTGGTACTTATGGATTCCCAGTGGGTAATGGGGAGCTGTGGGAAGGCTTTACAGAGTAGAGTCCAAGACCCTCCAGCTTCATTTTCCTGATCAGATTCCAACAAACATTTCTAGCTTCATCCCTCGCCCTCCACTGCAGACTCTTTGCTGCTCCTCAAAATATCATTTAAAGCATCTTTCTGTGCCAAGGGGCCAGGCAGGAAACATAAGTGCGAGAAACACTTTCAATGAGGAGTGTGGCCCCATGAAAACGGGATCTGCTACTAGATCCTTTTCCTTTTTTCTTTTTTTTGAGAGAAACCAGAAATGTATTGGGTTTTTTTTTTTTTTTAAAGAAAACTGCCTGATTTGTAACCATATGCAACTGATTCAAAATTTTAGAATATATTATGGGCCAATGAAAAAAATGTGTAGGCCAGATTCAGATCTTACCTGCCATTCCTGCCCTGAACCTGCACATACTGTTCCTGTGCACATCAGACCAGAAGCCCTTCAGGGGCAGTTTCCACACTTGACTCACTCTGGGTTACAGCATGGCCTAGGGATATGGGCTGAATGAAAATAGTCCCACATCCCCTATTTACCCTCCTCCAGGCCTTGCACATGCTGTTCCATAGAACAGCATTTCTAGCATTGCCTGGAATGTTCTTTTTCTCTTCTACCATCAAGTCTGTACCAATCTTTAAAAAGATAAGGGTTTGTGCACATGAAAAGATGCTCCACATCACTTGTCATAAGAGAAATACAAATTAAAACCACAATGAGACATCACCTCACACCAGTAGGGATCGCCATCATCGAAAAGACAAACAACAACAAATGTTGGCAAGGTTGTGGAGAAAGGGGAACCCTCCTACACTGCTGGTGGGAATGTAAATTAGTTCAACCATTGTGGAAAGCAGTATGGAGGTTCCTCAAAATGCTCAAAATAGAAATACCATTTGACCCAGGAATTCCACTTCTAGGAATTTACCCTAAGAATGCAGCACTCCAGTTTGAAAAAGACAGATGCACCCCTATGTTTATCGC